TTACACCACATATTGACATTGTGGTCTTTTATTGATAATTGTAATTGCTTCTCTGAATAAACTTCAGTTTTTCTTTCTTTTTGTGCACGTAGATTTGCCATTCAAATATTTTTAAGTGTCAGTTTATCCAGATTGTAACTTAAGTTGGGCGCTGGAAAGGTTTCTTTGCTGCAGTTTAATGCTAACTGATCGATACTACGTTAAATGTGAGGCGCTGCAGTACTTTGTTTCATGTGTATAATGAACGTGGGTTAACGTGGTGAATAAGTGCCCAAATGTCCAAGAATAATTCTGTTGCATCTTGTGTGTGTAACAATAGGATAGGCAACAAGCATGCGTTCATTAATACTAACGTATTTGATACAGACTTGAAAGTCAATAAATGGTGTTTGACACTAACAATGACAAGTCCAGTGTATTTTCGCAATGAGCAGTTGGATGAATGAAACGGTTGTCTGACAGTATTAGCATACACGAAGGTAGAGTCGAGTTTCGAGCGCGTGGATGCACTGTCGCCCACAGGGGCGTGTCACGCTTAGAAACAGCGTTAGAAAGACATGTAGGTATATAGACCCTACCCTGGTACTATATAAAGGATAGTACTAGGGTAGGGTCTATATACCTATTTGTCTTTCTAACGCTGTTTCTAAGCGTGACACGCCCCTGTGCTGTCGCCACTGGATACTGTGGGTTACTTGTAATAAGATATCCATGTCACTTATGATCATTTCACTTATGAACTAAGATCTCCTTATTGGACAACCGCTACACAATATCAGTGTTGTTCAGTGTTGTTAATGAGATAATAAAGCATTGGCAGAAGATAACATGAGATAGGCCAACAATTTATACCCATCACCCCTGGAACTTAATAGATTATGCCACTGGTCCCAATTCATAAAGGTCAATAGTCAGGTCAAGGTTATTCCCGCCTCTTGTCTTCCGGTAGTTTTATCTTGTGTTACCTCTGTCTGCAGAGTAGCGTCCCTTGGGAACGCCGCAAACCTGTTGTCATGGTTTCGAATCCCAGTTCGTCGCGATTAATTCACTTGTTTGTGGTAAACGTTTAATACCTGCATCACTTCGGGCTTTCCTCTCACATTAAGCTGAAAGGCTGTGATATAAATGGTCCAGCTCACTCAATCACACACTCATTCGCCCAAAACTATGCCTAAGATGCTACATATCGGCTTACCAAGTTTGAGTGATGTGACCCCTGGTCCAAGCTTGGACACAACTCCACTGGCCTCGTGTCCCAGAATCATGGGAGCCTTAACCACGTAATCCCCAATCTTCCCATTCGTCCAGAAATGTACGTCCGATCCACAAATTCCAACACTGGACATAGATAACTGCACCTCTGACACCAACACGAAGAAAGCATTAGCTGACGAGGTGGCCAGGGATTCATAAGGAACACAGTCATACCATAAGGCTTAAGTTGGGTTTAATCTGCATGATATGATAATTGGAGTTTACTGTCGTAAGCTCTCAATGATCGAACAATGTTTATGTATTATTCAGGAACACATCGGGTAGTTTCTGTCGGTCTTTTATTATAAGAAAGTGAACCATTTTACAACATTAAAAACTCGTTACCTCCTTGTTTGGGTTCTGGCACTGGCACTTCCTCCTACAGCAAGAATTCAGCATGTATGAGTGCACCATAACGTCACAATCTCGATTATTGAACGAAACAAGGTCCCATGACCTAAATGCCCTTCAAAGACTCTAAGGTTCCATGAGGCATATAAGGCAAAACAGGTGAAAATAATATGAATGGATCACTGAAAATCAGTGATGACACCAGGTGTTAGAGAAAAGGGTTAGCAATAACTTCCTGATTTCACCACGTGTTACACGCATAAAAAGAGAATATTGTGTATTTTTTTACCAACAGAACGATGCCTGCAGACATGCAGTGCCTGTTATGTATTTGACACAAATACAGCCTTTAAGCATTGACCGTGTTTTCTTAATACGTGCAACGTTTGAAGGGTGTTTTGTACAACCTGGAAAGTTATACCCAGAACGTTTGAGCAATAACTCAGGAAGTCTCTTTCACTTACTACTGAATGTTTTTATCCAACATTTTAACTGTTTGTTTTATACCGCTATCCTTAGCAATATTCCATATCTATAAACAGTCTGGACCAGACTATCTAGTGATTGACGTCATGAACATGGGACACAGTGACAATCAATCAGCTGGAGAATACGAAATGTAAGATTTACGCAGTGCTTTTAGGGTTATAATATCAAAACATGGTACATGGGATAAGCAAATATACAGTTCAATACTAACAAGTCTGAGGTCGCCTTTCTTGTACATGATGACGGCAAGATTCTTGTCTGCCATTGTGCCACTTCTACAGGTATCACAAGCTTGTGTAACGAGGGTTCCAGGAGCACACCTTGTGTTTGACTGGGGGATGACTTATGCAACTCAAGCAACGGCTCGTGTGCAACATGTAACTGGATATCATCTGTGTCAGCATGCACTGGGGTGTTGTTTTATCTAAAATATCAAGGCCAGTGGAACAATAGCTTTAGTGTAATGTCCCTTGCCTCTCTCTCCCTTCCCCGGTCCTCTCGCTCTCAGATTACCTCTCCCCCTTTCGCCCTGTTTCAATGAAAACTGGTGTTATCGGTATCTTAACCTGGAATTGCTGGTATCTTTGGAGATGTGTCTTCACAGGACGTATAGATTTAGATCAACTCTTGACACTGCAGGTATACCTGCCTCGTGGTATAATCAGGTAATCAACAGCGGCGTGCAGGTGAATACTGTACATCTCCGCGGACAACAACATGTTTTTTTCCGTTAATCCCTGCTGTGACCTAGGGAAGGTTACTTAAACATTCATTCACAGAACAACCATATATACTGAGTCAAAAAAGAAACTTCACAAAATGTAATTTGAAAAATAATGAATAATTTTTCTCTGATGATACATCTATGTATCCGAAATGGGATCCCTATCTTTCGACTCTAGAAAAACGTGAGCAAAACCCACTCAAACCCATCCATTCGTCGTGCAAATGACGTTAGTGCCAAATCAGGTTTTGCACGTGCAGTCGATCACGTGATCTGCGCATCGAAGTTTTCTTTATATGCACGTGTTTGCATTGGCCTCAAGAATTGAAAAAAACACTTTTAAACCACAGTTCTAACGGTACTTGAAATGCCACGATTGTCAAGTGTGCAACGTGAACGTGCCGTTGGCATGTTGCAAGCGGGAAGATCAGTTATTGACGTCGCAAGAGCAATGGGATGCAGCCGTCGTACTGTGTATGACTTGCGAGGTCGTCTACAACAAACTGGCACCACTTCTGATCGCCCAAGGTCGGGTCGTCCACGTGTGACGTCACGAGCAGAAGACCGTCAAATCGTCCTATGTCACCTACGTGACAGATTTCTGCCGGCTACACGAACCAGGGCTGAGATGTTTAGAGGTCGACTGTCCTCACAGACCATTCGAAATCGGTCGAAATCTCCATTCTCGACGTCCATATCGTGGGCTAATATTGACGCCGTTTCATCAACGTCAACGTCTGCTGTGGGCCCAACGTCACCTCCGATGGACCCAGAGAGACTGGAATCGAGTCGTCTTTAGCGATGAATCCAGGTTTACCCTCAGATTCGCGGACGGCAGGCATAGAGTCTGGAGACGACGTCGTGAACGGTATGCCCAATGTTGTGTACAGGAAGTCGACAGATTCGGGGGCGGAAGTTGCATGGTGTGGGGTGCTTTCTGTGGGAACAACCGTTCCCGACTTCTGGTCATCGGTGGAAACCTCACCCCTGGTGCTCACCCCTGAACTCGTTCCTTTCATGGCGGCTCATGGCCCAGGTCTACAGTTCCAGCATGATAATGCTCGGCCGCATACCGCGATGTTGACACGAAATTTCCTTCAAAACGCTGGAATCAACGTCATGGACTGGCCATCGAGGTCCCCTGACCGTAATCCAATAGAGCACGTTTGGGATGCACTTGGGAGAAGGCTTCGTGGTCTTAGGAACCAACCTCAGAATTTGCAGGAACTTGGCGCTGCCTTGCAAGAGCAATGGCGCAGAATCCCCAACCACGTGTTCACAAGCATCAGACAGTCGATGAGGAGACGGTGTTTGGCAGTTGTGAATGCGCGGGGCGGCCATACACGATATTGAACTGAGAAATTTCGCATTTATATTCTTGTGACTTGACATTCTGTATACTCATGTTTTGGAACGGCGGTGTAGCCTAATGGAACTGATTATGGCACTGTCAGTGTATCGAGTACATCACACATCCGCCTGTGTTCATAAGAAGCATATTTGACTTGTAAATGACTGAGACATGAACAGGTTATTGAGACCGACTTCTTGGGGTAAACATGTGCAAGGAGTGCATATCTGTTATCGGCATTTACATCGTGAAACCCTTGAATCAGTGAGTTATCCGATGTTCGACACAACCGCAAAATGATGACTAAATATGGAATAACGCTGGAACCCAACTGTTTCTTTGAGACAAGCGTAAAGTCGACACATCAAAGTTCGAGACAAGTGGGTTTGGCTTTAAAAGCTTATACACTGTATTTGACTGTGTCTTACACAAATGGAAAATCATGTACATTTCAATGGTTATCTTTATGGGTCTCTACGATAATGGTTCATGCTTCTGCAAAAGTATGGGTTTGCTTTGGGTAGGTATCGCAGTCGACTCAGGGGTGAAGGTTTGCCAACGCTCAGTCACAGAAAATAAATATTCTGATTGAAACAAACACCATATAAATTAAAAAGAAAGCAGTGAGATGTGGAAAATCTGGACTTTCTGTTAGAAAGTGCTGGGTGGAAGAGAAAAAAATATGATTCAGGGACCGTGATACAGACTAGGATGATGGTTAAATATAAGACTACTTCAGCAATGGCTTTGTCGGAAGTTGAAAGCAATATAACATGAGATGAATACTTTCCATGTGTATTCACTGCATAACAAACAAGATAAATATACAACTATTCTGTGAAGTCGTATTTATTCCATAACTCTGGGTAATACAAAAAAGTAGAGAAAATATATGCACATGACAAACATGATGACATCATGTTCCTTTACCCTGGACATACTAACCCAACCAGTCCATTGCTGCATTCCTTGGGGTTAGTAATTAGGACTACTGACTTGTTCTAATCAGATACTTTCCTAATGAAAGTCTACTTCATTGTCTGTTTATCCATATATTTACAATCATGTGGCAAACCCGAAATTGCATGTTAAAATATCATACTACTTATGACAAATCATCGCATATAGATAATGCATTATAAAAATTTATCATCATCAGTCAACACAGTTATGAACTAGTGGTGATTAGTAATCATTACAAAGTTATCACATAGAAACATTTTTGCCAGTATAAAATGTTGGAAAATACTCATGTTATGGAGATGATGTAATATGTAAGATATCGCATAACAACACTAAAATCAACATTCTACTAACCAATCAAAATTCTTGCCCCTCATTAGTACCAAGCAATGTGTTCCCCCAAAGCGTATTTAGTGTGTTAATTGAGCAAAATGCTGATTATTTTGTAAAAAACACTTGGAGTCTTGAGCTGCCATTGATGTTGGTCCTCTTGAAACCATCCACCAGATACCTCCAGTATATAGCAATATTAATGCAAACAGCTACATGTAAACCTCTACATGCATTATTAGCCATTCTCTTGAGACACACTTGCTTGCCTAACCAGAACAAAACTGAGGACTATTTGTCCCGAAGTCACCCAGCTATTTCCCATACTGCCATGTCTTCTGACCTGTTGGCTTACTGATCACTGGTCTGAACATAACTAAACACAAATTGAACTCGTACATTAAGCTTGAAACATACAATAAAAGAACTTAAATGCAATTTTCAGTCAGTTGTTGGATGCTTTTGGTCTGATAAATGCAAATTCCAGTGGAGTTTTCAGAATGACAAAAACATCGTCACAGGAGAGCAGTGTGGTTTATAAAAATTGTGATGTTTAGATTTAAGTTTTGCATAACACATGACAGATACATCTAACCACATGCATGTATCTAAGAAACAGTTTAAATACTGTGGAGGGTATAATATCATTACTTACATATCATGATGCTGTGAAGTTCACCTAAAAGGTTTAACATTTTGAATAATTGTTCACACATTTTCAATGAGCTAAAATACACAATATGGCACTGTACTGTACAGAATTTGTGTAATAATCAGAGAGCGACAGTTTCCTGTGGTTTTGAGCTTAATAATTCAGAAAATGTAATTGGTCATAAAAAAATGTATGAACACAAAGCTGAAAGTGGTGTTTCTTCCAGGTGAACAATTGGAAAAGGACAAAAATCCTTTGGATTGTTTACATTAATTGAAAGCAGTACCCTGTTACCTCACAAAATCTTGAACAATAGCTAAGGATTTCGAGAGCATGAATAACAGCACCAGTCATGTCAGATGCATTTTAGCTTAATGACAAGAAAGAAGAATGTTTGAACAGTAATGATCAAACATTTTGCCGAAAACATTTTGAACAATATTTCAAAACACTCTGTTTGAGAATTACAAATGTTTTTAAATGATAATTCTTAATAACCACTTGAAACAGGCAACTGGTTACAATATTTTGAATGTGTTTATTCTGAACTTACTGCAAGAAATACAGTCATAAAGATTACACAAATATTTTTTCCCTTTTATCATAAATATTTAGAGTAAACAGAGAGAACTACCTTGCTGCAGGGCCTGTACTAACTTTCTGAAGGACATCATCAACATAGTCTCTTCATTTGCCTCATACATTTTAATGTCTTGTTAGAAATTATTAAATAAATCTCAGTATATATAGGTGGAGACCATTAGAGAGCAGATCATGAAGTTCCCATCAAGATTCTACTTCCTCTCACAGTTAATCATAATCTTAACCCCCTCCCCTCTCTTCGCTGCCTCAAAGGCGTCAAGGCTCTGTTCCAGCTTGAAGCGGTGAGTGATGAGTGGCTTGACATCAACCTGTCCGGACGCCACCATAGACAGAGCAGTGGGGTAACTTGACATGAGGACGCCACCAAACAGAGTGAGTGATTGAGTGAGTGAGTGGGAGAGTGATGAGTGGCTTGACATCAACCTGTCCGGACGCCACCATAGACAGAGCAGTGGGGTAACTGAAAGAGAGTGAGTGATTGAGTGGGAGAGTGATGAGTGGCTTGACATCAACCTGCCCGGACGCCACCATAGACAGAGCAGTGGGGTAACTGATACAGAGTGAGTGATTGAGTGAGTGAGTGGGAGAGTGATGAGTGGCTTGACATCAAGAGCCTGCTGAAAGAGAGTGAGTGATTGAGCGGGGAGAGTGATGAGTGGCTTGACATCAACCGGACGCCACCATAGACAGAGCAGTGGGGTATACTGAGTGAACAGAGTGAGTGATGAGTGACATCAAGTGACGCCACCATAGACAGAGCAGTGGGGTAACTGAAACAGAGTGAGTGATTGAGTGAGTGAGTGGGAGAGTGATGAGTGGCTTGACATCAACCTGCCCGGACGCCACCATAGACAGAGCAGTGGGGAAACTGAAAGAGTTAGTGAGTGATGAGTGGCTTGACATCAACCTGCCCGGACGCCACCATAGACAGAGCAGTGGGGTCACTGAAACAGAGTGAGTGAGTGATGAGTAATTTGACTTTAACATTGGTGTAAATAAGTAAGTGTATGACAGATAAGCAAGCATACAAATCAATCCAAGTCGTTGCGACAACATGCAATCAGCTCATGTCAATTTTGTGGTTCTTTAAACAGGCATTGAATACTATGGGTCACCTCTACTCTGAAATCACTTGGAGACTCACAGTGCATATTGGTGGTATGTATATTAAAGGACATAATTCAGTCCCCAGCCAAAACATAGTCAAACAATGTGCCCAGTGGTTGGTTGGTGATCAAAGGGAGGTAACTCCATACATATTCATAAATAGTATGTTTTTGTGTTCATTCATTTATATTAATTCTTCTCTAAATTAGGGTCCAGAAGTGTCAAATAGTTGAACGCAAGCTATTAAATATTTTAATAATGTGATGATGTTACAAACGAAAATGGGATGAGTTTCTGAAACAGTACATGTGCATGAATATTTTGTTTTTCAACTGGTCATAAACCTTGTTTTAGATATTCTTGAATCATGTAATAAAACCTGGAAATTCCTGTGAAACCTTTGACTCACCAGTTGACATATCTGAAGATACCTCTAATGTCCACCTCTCTCACAGCCGCGTTCACTATCGGCAGCTCAACATCAGCAGCTCCTAGGCCAACCAACACCACACATCCACCTGATGCTGTTGCCTGGCAACATGAAAAAGAATAATGTGGCAGTGTGAACTGTGTTATCTGTTACCATGGTAACTCAAGTTCCTGGCTTCTCAGATTAAGGTATGCATCAACAAGTAGGTTATGATCTGCATGTTACCATGGTTACTCTCAGATTCCAGTCCCAAATTCTGTGCACAGTGCCTAGATACAGACTAAAACGATTTGGATTCAGATCATTTGCCTATCAATCAGCTGTTCTATGGAATTCTCTGCCTGAAGATCTCAAAACAGCCAAAAGCCTGCTCTCCTTCAAAACTCTCCTCAAAACGTTTCTATTTAAAGTACTTGTCTAGACTCTCACCCAAATAACTTTACTTGTAGCGCCATGAGCATACCAGCTGGCATGGAGTTTGGCGCGTTACAAATTCACTCATTATTATTATACCATTGCCCTCATGCGGGTTTTCTCTAGGTGTATGTATATTGCATGACCTACTGTTACCCTGAAGTTCTTGAAAGGCCAAGTTAGACAAACATGAATACACGACACGTTTCACAGATAACAACTTCTTTTTATTCTTTATCACGATGATAACAATGGTATTTACTGTTATCCCAGTTACTCACAAATATGGCCGTCCTGATGCTGGATGCCACTCCGCTACACTCAATGGTCTTGTCTGCGGGTTGACCCAGGGTCTCCTCGATCTGTTGAGCTGTTACACGAGGATCTCTGCTAGTTACTTTGAGTGTGTAGTTGGCCCCAAGCTGGCGAGCAAACTCCAGTCGCTTCTCATCAATATCTGCAATATGTGCATCCTATTTGAGAGCTTACAAACACAGGAAGGTAATGGTTAGCATGCAGATTCCTTTCTCCTGAGACTTTGAAGAAAAGGACATTTTGGCTTTATTCAAAATAAAGGAAGTACAATGTACAATAGCTGTGGGGAAGTATGGTGTATATGAGTGTTTTAAAGATAAGCCTAAACTAGTAAAAGGTAAAATCAAATCTGGACTAGACAAACCAGATTGGGATGCTGCTGACATTGATATGCTTCAAATCAACATACTTCAGGACAGTACTGGCCGTTTGCTTTCACAAGACTATTTTTGTAGTCAGTCTCTGTTCATCTGGGCAGCTCACCTGTGATGATAACATCCGCTGCTCCTCTTGACTTGGCTGTTATCAGGTTGACAAGACCAATAGGACCTGGAGGCAGTACATATAGGAACTGAAAACATCTTCAGTGATTGGACAGGTTGCACAAGTATGAGCACGAGTATTTGACTGGGAATTTCTGCTGTATTCAACAATTCAACAACATGTATTATATGGGCATATACATAATGGAGGACTGATCAGGATAACCACTCTGTCAGTATACGAAATATTAACCACTTGACCTTGTAACCCCTCTGCACCACAGGTCAACACAATCAACATGTTGTCTCAGATATCAGGACTTTCACCCCTCTGCAGTACAGGGCTTAGTGCCACAAAGTGATCAAAGTGCTAAGATCGTCTTAATTCTATGTTAGATTATAGGAACTATGGTCACCATAGTGATAAGATTGCTTTGTGAAGTGGCTCCAGATCAACACCTTGTCTCTGATATCAGCAGATTCTCTCACCTGCACCACAGATCAACACTCTGTCCCGAGTCCGATATTAGCTCTATTGCAGGCATGTACACCTACCTGCACCACAGATCAACACTCTGTCCCCTAGTCCGATATTAGCTCTGTTGCAGGCATGTACACCTACCTGCACCACAGATCAACACTCTGTCCCCTAGTCCGATATTAGCTCTGTTGCAGGCATGTACACCCACAGACAGTGGCTCCAGCAGAGCACCTTCCTCTGTGCTCACATGGTCCGGTAACCTGGCAACAGATGACTCTACAAATAGTATCCCCAGCATAATGTAACCAGGTCACACAAATAAACAGCTAAATCTTTCCTCAGTTGATAGACTTTTGTTTGATACTCTTACCACGGAAGAGGCATACTAGAATGAACACAGAACTCACTTGTAGCAGAAATCCGCAGCATGGGTGTAGAATCTTGCCAGGTTTCCATGGTAAGGGGGCGTGGCACAAAATGCCATGTCAAGACAGAGATTATAACGTCCAGTCTTGCAGTACTTGCAGACTCTACATGGCACCCCTGGTTCAATGGCAACACGATCACCTACAATAGTTTTGCGAAATGAAATAAAACATAAAACAGTTCTTCATACAAGTACGTCTATCAAAAATTGCAATAGGTCAAAAATACATGTCCCTTGAAAACACTAACACATAACCAGTATATCTATTATATTGGGCTGCACATGCAGCAATAATGATTAAAGTAAGATAATGCATTACACCAAATGATTTTTCGGTAACTTTTAACTGTACAGAAGTGGTGGGGTAGCCTAGTGGTTAAAGCATTCGCTCGTCACGCCGAAGACCTGGGTTCGATTCCCTACATGGGTACAATGTTTAAAGCCCATTTCTGGTGTATTGCTCAAAGCAGCGTAAAAACGCACTCACTCACTCTAACTGTACATATCAACACTCTCAGCACACTTCTCAGAACATGTTATAGATCAACTTACCAAGTTTGAGTGATGTGACCCCTTGTCCAACCTTGGACACAACTCCACTGGCCTCGTGTCCCAGAATCATGGGAGCCTTAACAATGAAGTCCCCTATTTCTCCATGTGTCCAGTAATGTACATCCGATCCACAAATACCAACATTGGCCATTGATATCTGAACCTCTGTTGAAACAATTGAAAACATTAGGAAATAAGAAATGTTCAGTCATTCACATGTAAGGTTTCAGAGGGAATTATGAAAACATAAAATACAGTCAGGACAAGCTGTGCATGATGTGGACGTCATGAATTGTGTGATAATTAAATTATTAATACATTAACAGAGTCCTGTATGCTTAGGAAATTGTTGTAAGATGATATGTTTAGTCATATTCCAAGATGATAAAATATTTATGCATTAGCAGAAAGTTGTGATACCTCCTTCCTTGGGCTCTGGGACTGGTAGGTCCTCCTGGAACAAAACATTAATTTATTTCATTAATATTGGTACAGTGTATCACGAACAGGTTTGTCTTGTTTTCACCAAATAATGCTTATTGGGAAGACAGATGTGCTAAGCCACAATGAGAAATATTTCTTCGATTCATCCATGCATCAGCAATAAAAAAGTTAAGAGATACACCAGAAAAACTTTCAAATTTAAATGCATCTTTCTGGACCTTGATATAAGCATGACGAATTTTTCTATTTTAATTTCTGAAATTTATTCTGCTTCCAACTGTGACACATAAGCCTGATAAGGGGATTAATTCCTTTGGTCAATATAGGCTAAATGTAACAGATACAATCTATACCCACAAGCCTCATGTCGTCCTTCTTGTACAATATCGCGGTAAGATTCACGTCTGTCATGTTGTCCACTTCTTCAGGTATCACTGACGGGTGTAGAGTAGAGAGGGTTGTACGCTAAGACGCTCAGAATTTACACAACTGATAATATTCCAGTATAACACGACCTGAGCGAGTGATGACCTATATTACACTACAGCTGCCTCGTGTGCAAAAGTTGATAAGTGTCATGCCAAGATTTAATTGGACATTTTCTGTGCCAATGTTTTCTCAGCGTCCCTTCTTTATCTGAGACATCAAGGTCAGTCGATTTTCTTCTATTCCGTATCGTATGTCGACCTACTGTTTACAAACTTGAGTCAATGATTGTCTCCCTTGATGCATGGGAGTTCAGCATTACTTCCCTTTGTTTACCAACATGCCTGGGAAAATGACAGTCTAAGTAAACTTCGACTCAGTATTATTCGTTACACTGCAATACTGATATAGCAGTGTAACGAATAATACTGAGTCTAAGTTTACTTAGACTGGGGGAAATGAATATTTGACTCTTTCTTCAAGATTATTGTGATTTCTGTCTACTGCCAGCAAGGCTTAGCAGAATGGGATGTTTCCTCCGATCCAACAATAGCTGGATAGCATGTGACATCATGAACAATGGATGGCGTCATTTTCATTATTTAGCACACGATATCACGTTCCGATGTGCTACACAGAAACAATTAAACAGTGGAACAATTGAAATCAACTGCACAATAAGCATGAAACAGAAACTGTGATATAACCCATAAATTTCTAATGAGTGTATGTGATAATGCGCTTTCCGATACTTTGTTGTATATTCGATACAATTGTTAACATTTTCATAAGCGTGATATTGTTTTGTAATTTGCGCAGAAGCCAAATGTTTTTATATTTTTATTATATGTGTGAATTCTATTTGAGTTTTATCCACAATAGATTATGACATGACGCCGTTATGGCACACGAATATCCCCAACCAAAACCTCACTGTTTCAAGGTATTTCAGTCATACTTTGCAGGCAGTTAGTATCATGAACACAGAAATACCTCTTGTAAGAAAAAATAATAAAACATATTAAAAGTGTATAAACATTTAGAGAAACATATCAGTGGTTTTATTGTATGCTAGACTCATCCAACCATCAGACAGAGCCTTGTGGGTAAAAATCACATTTACATATGTGCAGTCTACCTCTGCTGTCCGCACGCAGTGTCTTGTTTGGAATGGATACATGCGGCGTAAAACTGTACTCACCTTCTACTTAGTTTCGCGGTTTGTTTCATCTGCCTTTTATCTCCAGCGTAGTGCTTATTGATAATGAAATATAATTCTTAGGTTATTACATCAAGTTTATTGTGCAGCGTATGTATGTTTATTAGGTATATAACTAGAATGTGGATGAACAAAAAAATACCACTCAAAGAAGTTAGAATTCTGATGCCATCCGCGAGATTCCGGGTAAGAATATATGTCCTCAACAACCAGTGTTAAAGGCAAGTTAATGGATTCTGTGGTTAGCCTGCACGGTTGATTGCATGCCATCGTGCCCCGATTGCTCGGACCGATTACCACGGTATCAATCACTGGATTGTCTGGACCTTACTCGATTACTTAAAGATCTCTATGACATAGCAAGAACAAAAATAAATTGTAGATTTCACCAGACATTCAACGTGCGTGAGTGATTTTAGTTTTACACCGCTTTTAGCAATATTCCCGCAATATCACGGTGGGCACGGGGGACACCACGTCGAATAAATCGTATTATTTATAGAAACGATTGCATTATACGCTTTGGCTATAACACCACCTTATCCTGTTTAAATAGACCCGTGAAGGTCCGGGTTAGAATATTGATCTTCAGTAACCCATGCTTGTCGTAAGAGGCGACTAACGGGATCGGGTGGTCAGGCTCGTCGACTTGGTTGACACATGTCATCGGTTCCCAATTGCGCAGATCGATGCTCGTGCTGTTGATCACTGGATTGTGTGGTCCAGACTCGATTATTTACAGACTGCCGCCATATAGCTTGAATATTGCTGAGTGCGGCGTAAAACTAAACTCACTCTCTCACCTGTTTAAATAGAATAATAACTTCAGTAATCTATTTTGATCTGCATATACATACGATGTTAAGCAATCAGCTAAGTCACTGAACCTGATCACCTGTTCGTTATCTCTTACAAGAAGTCTAGTATGCTGGGGACATATATACTTACTTGGAATCTCTAATCGTTTTCGTATGTTTGTCACAGTCCACTATTATACAGTCCACATGTTCGGTAACTACTATACCCTCAGGGATGACAAGTCTTTATGGGTGACCAGCTTCATTATTGTATAACAGCGACGTTTCGGTATGGATACTTATACCGTTTTGAATAGAATGAATAGAATGCCTCTAAAACAGTACTATATTCTCCTTGTTTGTTTTTATTTATTTACTTTGGGTGGGGTGTGTGTGTGTGTTGTTAAGGCGCTCGTTTCCATTACTAATACGAACTGCTCGACGCGGGGAAATGTAGCACAATAATCGGAAGCGAAGTTCCATAGATCCTACTTCGTGTCTGGTGAAAAACCTACAGTCAGCTAGAACAAAATGTACTTTAACTTTAACAACGCTACTAGTTCAAAATTGACATACTGTCTAGAATAATAATACAAACTATGGTCAGTAACGTGCGCAAAAAATCCATTTCTCTACTTTGTGTAGGGCAGATGGTCACCACCATATCGATATTATCATCAATGGTCATATTTCTTGTACATTAGTGCAACATATGGTGGTGACCATCTGCCCTACACAAAGAAGAGAAATGGCTTTTTTGCGCACGTTAGCTGACTGTAGCTTTTTCACCAGGCACGAAGTAGGATCTATGGAACTTCGCTTCCGATTATTGTGCTACATTTTCCCCGCCGAGCAGTTCGTATTAGTAATGGAAACGAGCACACACACACACACACACACACACACACACACACACACACACACACACACACACACACACACACACACACACACACACACACACACACACACACACACACACACACAACAACAACAACAACAAAACAAACACACACACACACAAACAAACACAAACACTAACACACTAACAAAAACACACACACTAACACACAACAAAAGTAAATCAATAAAAACAAACAAACAAAAACAACACAAAAAAACAAACATAAGCTTTGGGTATAACACCACTTTATCCTGTTTAAATTGAATAACTCCAATAATCTATATTTTAATCTGTATATACATCTTGTTTAATGTACATGTATAAAACATTTGACATTTAAATAATGTAATTACTTCTCCTCACTCAACATGCACATTTACTCTATTGCGTCGTCGTATGATTTGAAGTGCAAAAATATTGAACTTTTTCACAAAAGTTAGTTTGGAAATAAAGGTACATAAGGTACTCTGTGTGAATTTACCATTGCATTTCCATAATACATAAAAATATATCCTTACGATATGTGTAACATCACAGTTTAGTTAAAAGTTGCATGTCGCCAGCGACGGTGTATATATTTGTTGCATTAAAAATAACACTAGTGATAGTGCATGATATCTTTTCATGCATCATGTGGAAGATATCATGCTGAATATAATGTGAGGTAGTCATTTAACCTAATATTTGAGGGTATCAGTAAAATTTTAATGAAATTCCACTGTCGCCAATTCTTTTGTATTTTACGTTATGCTCTTAAAGAAAGAAAACAACATCAAAAGAGATTAAGCCACTGAATCTGATCACCAGTTCATTGTCTCTTGAAACAAGCGTAGGTTGCCGGGGACCTATATACTTACCTGGAATCTCGGCCTTTTATCTCAGTCCACGAATCTAAACAGTACACAAGTTTAGTAATTACTATACACGCCTTGTAAAATGAGAGAAACAAACATAGACAAGAAGGCCCTCGGGTTGATATACATGTATGTTTACTGCACACCGCATCATCATGTTTGAAATAACCTCTTTGAGAGTCATTTTAGAAGTTGTATAGATGAAGGAAAACCAAGTTCTGTGGATGGTCAACTTCTTTATAGGTACTAATACCGTTATCTCTTGCTTGATAACTGTGTTAGTACCTGCACCGAAACGTCGCACTCGTTGCAATAAAGAAGTTCACAATCCATAGAACTTGGTTTTCCTTCATGTTTGAAATAGTCGTTCAATATATAAAGAAATGAACCATGATAATGAAGATTTAGAGACTTGCAGTGTTCATATGTTAAGGCTCTGTTGGAATAACAATGCTAAAACAAACCTGTTCTTCTCTCTCAGTACAGACAAACAGTGCGTCTAGTGGTGCTCGATCCTTCATTTCAGACAGAGCTTTACACGTTTTGCCATTCAGAAAACTTACGGGAGAGTTATTTCCCTTTAATTTACTCACACACTTTCACGACATAATATTTTACAGCAACTTCGGCGACTTTATTTGATGACCGATCAAAGCGGTCAGCTAATTGTGATAAGACTTGGTGTACACAAACCACACTTGGTTTCGATCTGCCCTGCATTTTACAGAATGACATTCTACAGATGAATTATTCATAACGAATGCCTTTGAACATTTGTACAATGTTTTTTTAGTCGTAGCTGTTTTGCAAGATCATGATATGCATGAATCCATAGGCCTACACTGATGTGTTAATGACAAGGAGTGTAAAGCACGTTCAGCAATGTGTCAGCGGTGTCACAGAACCACTAAGAATGGACTTAATATACACGCACGCACGCACGCACACCCCCTGCAAAGTTGACACATCAGGAACAGTTCCCTTTATATACATGTACACACGCACACGCACGCGCACGCACACGCACACATACACTCAAAGTTGAAACCCGCGAACATCCGGGTTAGAATTGGTCTACAGTTACCCATGCTTGTCGTAAGAGGCAACTAACGGGATCGGGTGGTCAGGCTCGCTGACTTGGTTGACACATGTCATCGTATCCCAATTGCATAGATCGATGTTCATGCTGTTGATCCCTGGATTGTCTGGTCCTGATCCGATTGTTTACAGACCACCGCCATATAGCTTGAATATTGCTGAGTGCGGCGTAAAACTAAACTCACTCACTCAAAGTTGACAGATCAGGAACAGTTCCCTATTACCAACATAACACAGGTCTCTTGTGATGCCTGCGATATTCTCGCTTTATGAGCAAAATAGTTTTCCGGTCTTTTAACTTGACTTTAACACTTTTCGTTGGATATTTACATCAATTTCAACAAAGCAAACATACATTGAGATCAGTTGCAAGACCACGTACAAGCATGATGTCAGACGAAAGAAAATAAATCGCAGGCTCAAGACGTTCGCCA